GGATTGCATTAGAAACGAAAGATGAACAACAAAGTCCAGTTAGATCTATATTATTAGAGCACGCATCTAGTCCTAATCTTTAAGTTTGTCTGGTCAGGTGTTAGAACTGTCGAAACTTTCCGGTCTCTGAAGAACATCTTATTCTAAAACAAATAACAAATACAAAGTTCAGCTTCTATTTTATAACGTAAGTACAGTTGCATTTCAATAAAGTTTAAGTATAACCGAGTAGTCATGCAGTGAAAATTTTCAGCTGATAAACAAATAGGTTTTTGCTATTCTCCTCTTTCTGACGCCTCGAACCTCAATTCCACAAAAAAATCTCACGAAAGGATTTTGAGAAAAATCCAGTTATTCAAAACAGGTCTCTGGACTATAATTTAATGTAAATTTAATCCAGAGTTGAGAATTTTCAAAATTTTTACTGAAATCAGCGATGGTGATAGATAAAAGTGATTTCAAGAAACATTTTACTTTTTGTACATAATTTTACATTAAGTATTGAGTACTTTTAATCACTAACAGGAAGGTTCTATTCCATTATTCACATAAAATTATTAACCAAGGAACTATTTTCAGAGAAAATTAATTCTCTGTAACTTTCTGAGAGAAAAGTTTGGTGAAAAATTTATTAGTTGTTGAAGATGAAGGAAACGTAATGGATGAAAAATATGATGAGTTCCACAATTGTAAATGAAATGTCAATTGTTTTAATGAGCAACCATTCATGAGAAACTGAAAATGAAATAAAATGAGAGACCTTTGTCCCTTCTCTACCACTTGCTCAATCCAAGTATGAGGAACTTTCAGTAAGGTATACATACCATAGTCAGTCTTTTTGCTTATTGACTGCGTACTGATTTTTCGTTAATAACTCACTTCTAGTTATTTGTTGATTGTCCCCTTTTACAGATTAACGGATGTTCAATTATTTTGAACTCCATCTGTCGTTAAACTGGTGAGCCTCAAATCAAATACATTTAGGAATGTAGACTTATACAAATACAGAGCAAATAGTGAAACACGTAAATAAACGTTCCCCCCTCGTATCATACCAATGTCATGGATTCGGAGATGCAATAGTGATCGGCGAGAGTGTGTGCAGTTATTAAATGCAAAGGGAGTAAGTGGCGCGGTGGCTCGATCAAATTTGAAATCGGCACTCGCTTAAGGTAACATAAAGAGACGGCTCAACCTTTGATCGACCTTTGGCGCACAAAAAGAGCACCGTCTAAAAATGTATCTCGTGGGCGTTAAAGAATCCACTCGGCACACACGTCGATGGATCTGGCTCTCCTCCGCGAATCCAACGGCCAAGCAAACTTAGAACTAGCGAATAATTAATAATATGGATGTAATACCTCGTTATCTAGCAGGCGATGATGATGTCGCAATCCTAACAGCAGGGGACGTCGTAGTCAGCGGTGGCTCGATGCGCGCTTGTCTTGGCGCAGACCAGGAGGTCTCCGACGCTTTGCAACACGTACATCTGGCCCAAAGGCCTGGGGTATACTGCAGAAATCGGTGCTCTGTTTGTTGATTGTTCCATCTTCGGCTGCGAAGCACATGCACACGACGACCAACGTCGTTGCTAACGGGGGAGCCAGCAGTGTTGCGACCTCGCCAAGAAATCGATGGACTGCTCGATGATGGCTGAGGGTTGGTTGGTTGGTTACCTACCACCCTGCCGAACGTTGACGCTTTTATGGATTCTAAACGTCAATCGATAGGCCGCGAAGACGCTGACTCTACCCTCAACAACTCTAACTATTACCTTCGACCGGCTAGTTATCGAGTTACACGCGATATTTTATTTTCTCTTGTTAGATATCTATTATACGAATAATTGATATTGCACTTTCTCTGTCTTTATTTCTGTCGAAACTGACTTCAAACAAATCGGTAATTTTTTTCGAAACTGACATCTAGGTAGAGCAGGGTAAATGGCCACAATTACCAACAAACAGAACTGCCGAGTACGAGGGCCACTTTTTAAGTTTTCACAAAAAGTTAAAAACATTTTCAAAAAAACCGTTTTATTGTTTTACAAAATATCCGTTTTATGATTTCTGTAAAACTCAACACAGACTACTTCGCCAGAAAACGGTGGTATATTCACATATTGCATTGAACATTAGTTGGGCAACAACAAATAATGTCTTTAGAATCTTTTTTATGCAGAAACGAAAGAAGACTGAATTTCTTAATGGCTAATAGGCCAGTATTTGTTGGGCAAGATATTGCTCCGACCTTATGTTAGTTCTGAATAACATTTTCAGAAATTTTAGTATATTTATTCACTTCTATTTATTTATTTCTGAAGTTTATTCATTTTTGACTAGCAACATGTACATACATATTTGTACATGTACCACGCTAGACCAATATACATGACTATCAAATGGTCCGATGTTTTTGGGCTTATTAGCCGGTGTCTGTAGATTTGTACACCTGACGTTTCGTCTGATATTGCAGCGAAATTATCAAAGGCGAAGCGGCAACGATCGAAGTGATCTAGTTTGCCGCTATAAAAAAATTTAAAATGGTCCTGGTGCATTTGTACTTATAATGGGACTAGGAGTCGAATGAGTGACTGCTCTTGTACCTGATTGATCTGACCCTTCTTCAATTATTGGGAGAGTTTTTGTGTTATGAAGTGCCGGAATCCATGTTTTTTATGTTTAAGCTCTCTTCCTTAAAATTGAAAATATTTTATGTGTATACCAGCTCAGTCAAGAAGTTACTGCTATGGCCAAACAGATAAATCGGCAGAATATGCATTAGGAAAGTACTGGTTTATGAACATTGCATGGTGAACATAGATTAAAGAAAATAACTTTTGTCTAATTTATACTGAGTTTATTATTTATTAGACCGAAACCGGTCGTAACAAATAATAAACTTAGTAGAAATTAGACAAAAGTTATTTTCTTTATTCTATATTCAATATGAATTTCTACAAAATAAATAGGTGCCATATTATTGGCGTTATGCAATGTTTGGCACCATGATAACAAATATTTAATAACTATGACCACGTGATTCAAACCTGAGCTTGAAAAAACATTCGTAATTCAGCACAAGACAGTGGTGGAAAGTCGTCTCGGTTTAGGTCAGGTTGCAGCCTGGCTCCCTTACCCTTTCAACAGATAAGACAGTGATGCTAGCTGAACACTGTCCTCAAAGGTCAAGCTTGAGTATAAATAGGCATGATATCTCCACTTGCGAAGGAGCCATCTATGATCTGGGCAGAAAACTATGAGTTTTCCCTGGCAACTAGATGGAACAGATGAGACCTTGTCGAACTAGTAGCGTTTACTTTCAGATCACGAACACTTTCATGCTTCATCTTTGAGCTTAGGTTTCATTTAGTTTTTTGCAGTGAAATCTGAAGAAAACCACAGAAGACAATTTCTAGTTCGGCAATCGATGTCGAAGCCTACCTTCGGTAGGGATCTTTGTTTATCTTGGATAAGAAAGGATTGATTTTTCAGTCGACCCCACAAATGATTTCTTCTAAGGCGAGATGTCTTTGCTCACTTATACAAAGACCAGGTGAAACTTTTTATGGCGAATAACAAAACTGGTGCGCGCAATACTGGTAGGTACATATTTGTGACGTCACTATTCAGAAAGCGTTTTGACGTGACGTTAAATGGAAAAAATAATTAGATTGAACTTGAATTAACAATTTTTTGGACATACATCTTCGTTTGAGAGAATCAACTCATGTCATGATAGATAGGCGGGTTTTATTTACATTCAAGTCAAAATAGCGAAACTCGCAACTAGCTCATTATTCAACTTCATGTATTTTTCAATTACTACATGTTCCAATATTTTGATCCTCCAAAATAATATTAAAATAGATGTTGCATATAATATGAACATCCTTCGACTGCATATATGATCTATAGTTTTTTCATTATGCAACGGAGTGACAAATCATTCTCAAGTGGCTGGTCCATAGGCGTAGGTACATTCGAACAAACTCTGGTATTGTGATGAATAATGCAAGTTATCATTCCAGGAAAGTTGAGATAATACCAACTAATATATGGAGAAAAGTAGATATCATCGAGTCGCTTCGACAAAAAATATACCATTTGACGAAAGTATGGTTAAAAGAGAACTATTGTTCATAGTTGATTTAAATAAAGCTTGTTTCACGGAATATGTAGCCGAAAAGATACCAAAGAAACGAAATTATTATTATACTGCGCCTGCCCCCCTCACATTCCGAAATCAATCACATTGAACTAGTTTGGGCTCAAGATTTATTTGATGATAAAACTCCATAATTTTTGCTAATATCTAATATTTTCTTAAATAAGTATATCTATTTTTATTATTATGTAAATATTTCAAATCAATATTGATTGTATATAAATAAATAAACATAGTTATTAGTTTTAACGTGCATTATCCATACGCACGCCGCTGCAGGTAGAAAACGACCCCAACGCTTATAAAAATATTTCGTTTGCCACCCGTTTGCGATAATAAAATATGGTGAACCCGGCAAAGTATTATAAATCCGCCTATACAAGCTGTGGCAAATCATAATGAAATCACAAAATTTTGTTTGAGCACTTTGTTACCTTTTGTACTTATAATAACGATTTATTTCTCATTACTATTTGGAAACATAGTACAATGTTGTGAACTGAATGAATATTTCAAAATCACCTCGTATACTGAGCGAAGTTGAAAGATGCAAACGATAACGAAAGTGGTTACGGAAAGGACGCCCATTCATAATGGTCCGTATAATCGGAACGAAATTCCAAGTATCATCTAGCCCGAGGCTATGTGTCAGCGTGACCACTCACGTTACTACATGGTCAAGTTGTAAACTTTACAGATGTTCGACGATCTTATCGGATATACGAGCGGATTAATTTTCACAAAGCTCTAATGGGACCATTATGAATCTTGGATAGAAAATGAACGACAGAAAATTAGGTTTTACGATATGTAATGGTATCTGATAGACTTACCGAATATATTCACTTATCAGATCAGTGTTGATTTTTGTCTGGTTTTCCATCTGGAATAAAAACATAGCTGTCATATTGTTGCGAACTATCGCTGGCACTAATATTACGTACATGCGTGGATTTTTAATAAATAAGTAATACATTTGAAAAAATTTAAAAACTTTATTCAATAATTGAAAATTATAACTGAACACTGTACTTGAATAACACTTATAATTGTAGCACTTGTTTCACTGGTTCACTGTCACCTGCAATCTCGTCTCTTGTAGGAACTCCGAACTAATCTAAAACCTCGTATAACTATCAATCAATTCAACTCCAGTGCGGTTCTCTTAAATTTTAGTTTCATCTAAAAGGTACTTTCGCATCGTAAATGCATGTTGACACTCAAATAACAAAGTAAAAAAGCTGTGAAATCACAGAAAAACTATTTAATTTTTATCAGAAATGACCTAATTTCGAAAACATTTGACTCTGGACAGTTTCTGCTTCTTCCTCATCATGGATTGTTGCTGGTGTTAGCTGTGTTATATCTAGAGTAAAATCCTCATTGGGCGTGATTTGAATAAATAATTTTACCGGTAATTTGCGTCGTTTTTTGGCGATGTGACCACTTGACTATTTGTCTGTTGAGTCTGTAGAAGCCCCCTGAAGCCTGTCTCTCGAAATATATTGTTGGAGTTGATTTTTCTCTCACGTGTTCAAAGTATGAATGTCCAGCATTTTGCCAATGCTAGGACTCTCTAGCAGTCTTGGTGATAGTAATCCATTAGAAACAATTGAACGCAATTATTTAACCAGCATATTTAGATCCAATCGAGCTGAATATAGTGGATTCAATTTTCCACCCACCTCTCTAATGATAAAAATAAAATAAGTAAAAAAAATGATGGTAAACGGTTTTATTAAAATAATAATAATAATAATAATGTAGATAATGTACTGGAAACAAAAAAATTAGTGTCCGACCGAAACTGGTTTTTACGACCGAAACCGAAAACGAATTTCGGCAACGGTCTCAGTTTCGGCTGAAACCGAAACTTCCTTACAAGGATTATGTTTTGAGGGAAAAATAAAGAAAACGTTATATAATCAGTCAGTCTTTATTTTTTTATCTTTAAATCACAACGTTATGCACTCTTCGACATTTTTACTTATTGATAATCAACATAACAAACCCTTATTTTATTTAAGAAAAAATATTAATTGCATCTTAAAAATACTTAAAATAGGTGAGGTATTTATTTGAATATTATTGATGGTTTCTCAAAACTAATAAACATAAAATTACTTATTAGGTTGTTACCTAATATCACAATAGGTACTTAATATTTATGTAATAAACAAAGTAGGTAAATCAAAAAGTGAGTCTCGAGTCATGACATGATTAGGCACGTGGACGCAGCAAAATGTTTTCGTCGCTTGTATGAAATTCAACGCGCCGAACATTACCGATCACAACGCGGGAATTCCCGTATGCAGTTTCGGTTTCGGTCGTAGTTTCGGCAGGTTTGCCGCCAAAACCGAAACTAAACCGAAATTCGTGTTTTTGCCGAAACTCGACCGAAACCGAACTTTCGGTCGGACACTATAAAAAATATTTCGAGAGTTCCTACGCCACTTTCCTCAACAATTTACGGTATTGATCAGATGAGAAGATAATAAAATCGTTGGACGTAGCGTATCCTGAGTAAATACGATTTTATTATTTTTTTATCTGATTACTACCCTAGATTTCTGAGGAGAGTGGTATGATGACTGTACCTAGGATCTTCCGAATTATTTTTTAGTTTTTAGTATATTATCTATATCTTTTTTTTCAAGAAATTTGTTTAACATATTTTTTTTTACTTATTTCATTTTCAAGTTTTACCTTCTAATTTTTATGCACCCCAATGCCACACAGTCCTCGACACGATACAAAATTTTGACTTGGGTGGGAGATCCATTTCTTGTAGCCCAGTTCTGTGTTGACAAAGTTATTTTTATAGATTATATTGGATTTGCGTCTTTTTCATAGAGTACTACTATAGTACTAGTCAAGCCCTATCATTTGATACCCATATTGAGGTAGTTGTGAAATAATATGTGATCCGCCATTTTGTAGCTGCAACCATCTTAAATTTGCCACCTCAATGCCACACAGTCCTCGACACGATACAAAATTTTGACTTGGGTGGGAGATCCACGCTTGTATCCCATTTCTGAGTTGATAAAGTTATTTGTATAGATTATATTGGATTTGCATCTTTTTCATAGTGTACTACTATAGTACTATTCAAGCCTATCATTTGATACCCATATTGAGGTAGTTGTGAAATAATATGTGATCCGCCATTTTGTAGCTGCAGCCATCTTGAATTTGCATCTTTTTTTAAAGTGTACTACTATTCTACTAATCAAGTCCTATCATTTGATACTCATATTGAAATAGTTGTGAAAAAGTATGTAATCCACCATTTTGTAGTTGCGGCCATCTTGAATTTGCATCTTTTTCAAAATGTATTACTACTCTACTAGTGAAGCCTTGTCATTTGAAACCCATATTGAGGTAGTTGTGAAAAATATGTAATCGGCCATTTTGTAGCTGCGGCCATCTTGGATAATACAGAATTTATTAAATTGTATTGTAATGAAAACTAAATGAATCAAATATATGATCAATTTGTCAACAGAACTTCATTTGCTAAATTTGACCCAAATAAACAAACAGGGCAAGCTAAATAAAACAGTTTAATAATTAATAAGAGACCTTCGATCAGAGCGTTACCTTTATTTACATTTTCAAATCTATCTCGCACCATTTCGACATTGAAATGCCATAAAGATGATCAACTGCGACACCAGTCCTAAAAAGAAGAAGAGTTGACCTTCGAGTATTCCATATCCGAAAGGTATGAATATGCAAGGATGGCATCTTGGTTAACCAAAGTATACTTGCTGACCCAACAACTCCATAAATTACACAACACGTGCCGCACTTAACACATTTAAAGCTAATAAGACAAAAGGTTTTATATGTCGGATGGCCTCACAACTAAACAAAGAAATAACAATTATCGACTATTACCAGCCACATGTACAATAATCGAATAGAAACGATGGCGTTGCTTTTTGCGGTGAGTTATTTTGTAAACTCTTCATTTTCAGAGAGTCCTAATTAATAGTTTGCCTTAAGGTCATTTTATATTTGATTTCATAATATTTATGAGTTCCTAACTTCCCACTTAAAAAAGGTGATGAAGAAAATATATTCAATAGTAGGAAGGCTGACTAAAAAACTACAACATAAAATTAAAATTCATCATGAAATTACAGTACGAACGCAAATAGGGCTTCTGGTCTCTCTCTCTCTCTTTAGGTTTTCTTGGCCTTTGCATCCGTACGGCGCATTTAGCCATTACTGTTAACTTTTGAAAGAAACAAGTTATGAACGTAGGACCAAATTTACGTGAAAAGTTATGTAGGAATGTAGGCTCTCATCGCCGAGAGAGCGCAACTAATTTTATTTTTCAAATATAAAGGGGGGGTCTTGTGATACCTTGATTCATATCTAATATATTTTTATTGTTGAAAATCAAATCAGCCGTTCTCGAGTAATTAGCAGTTTCATATTCGTTTCAAGAATCTGCAAACTATAAATATCAAAATCTCAAAAAAATATTCAAAACTCACTCCAGTTCATTCGAATAAATTTTTATCATAGACTCTCTGTCAATAATGAAGTTTGTTTACAATGTTGTTCCTATGTTATACAACTATCCTGAAGTAACATCGTTACAAGCAACTCTTTTTCCATCCACGAGTGCTGAAACTATTAGCGGCTGTGTATCCTACACTTCAGATGTCAGATATATCCTCAAAAACATCCAGAGGAGTCACATCAGGTAATCTATTGCGCTCTCTTTATTACGACGAGCTTTCTTGAAAGTGGCTAGGTGACAATTATTAAAATCTGTAGAAAGGTAATTGTGGTCCCTTAAAATGACCAGCTGCATTACCTGATCTGACATTCTCGGATTTTTGTGAGGACTGGTAAATTCTAAAGTTTACGTTACACAACCACAGTTTATTCCAGAGTTCATGGTTAGAATGAAAGGTGCTTCTAACGAAATTACCCCATAAACATTCCATAATGAATGACTAATTGTCAGGAAGTGAATTGTGGCCAATTTGAACATATACTGAAATGAACTGAAGCGAGTTTAGAATACAATTGTTAATCACTCAGAAACAGCTGATTTTATTTTCAAACTGAAAAAATGTTGGATAGAAAATTGAAACTCCTGTCAAACGGGTTACTATAAGACCCCTTTCTATTCGAAAAAATGTTGAAAGCATCCTCTAGACGACAAGTCTAGTCTCATCAAAAAGTACTGAAAATAATACCTTTCAATGTAAATTTTATACGACCTTGATATCTTGTTCTGCTAAGAGGAGGGACTTTTAACGTTCGCACTGTATATAGTTGATGCAGAGGCATTTCCGATCACATAAAATTAACTGTTTTGGAAAACCTAGACAGAAACAACATCTGACTATGTCTGGCAGAGGGTTTTTTAGAAAAACTATATTCACCCATTTTTCTGCTTTTTGAATACTGATGGTAATGTTCTTGAGCTGATTTTCGACGAGTAAATTCTATTGTTTTGCTACTCAAGTATCCTCTGACTTTTCCATTTTCATGAAGTTTCTGAAGAACATTGCATTCATTCCAACAATCTTGTTCTCGTACATTCTATACAGGTCGTTTGCTGAATATTTGTTGTATTATTCTGAACTTCGTTGTGGTTTTCTATAAACTGCTTGTTTGCAATACCTATCATTATCAAGAAATATAACAAGCTGTCTTTTTTCCACTGTATTTAGTGATTGTCTCCTTAATACACCCCGTTTTGTTCAGATATCTTGTGAATGGCCAGTGAGTAGACCTGTACTATTCTGAATGAAAGTAAAAAACAGATCAACACCAGATAGTACTGTTTCGATCATCCGTAGGTTTCATCAGTGGTGTCAACCACAACTGCTTTGTTTGACTCAACTGTACATTCTTTCGATCGCATAGATGGTGTAAGGGAAGATACGATTCCTTTCATGCTGAAACATTTCTTCAGATCTTTTCTCAGATGATTTTTTCATAGCAGATTCGCCGTGGGGACTCCAGAGTATTTTCTCTGTCTTCTTCAAGATTTCATTAACTCAATTCTTGATCCGGTTTCGTATATGAGGTTGTGATGCATTAAAAAAAGTTTTTTCTTACAGTTTTCATCTGAAATAAATTTCTTTGTATCCTTTACACATCTTTATAAATAGTTCTTCTTTTTTGGAGTAGTTTCTCTCATTTTTTGTTCAATGATAGCCAAAGAGCTTCTTGTCTTGAAAAAATGATTCTCTTTTCAATTTAAAATATGCAGACCTGTTATTTTGACACGTTCGCACTCAATTGTTTCAGTGTGGTTTTATTGAAACTTGTAGCACCACTACTAATTTAGGCATCTTGTCGGTATACGTATCAAGTTTCTTGGACTGTAGAGTGAAAGTTCACTTGGAGTCAAGTGAGGCTTTTATAAAGTCTTACGTGGAAAACTATTGGAAATACTCGCAAAATTCAGGATCACCGAGAGTATTCAAGCAACATGGAGATATTACATATCAGACTGACTTTCTACATAGAATGTGAAATCGTCATATTATATGGGTTTGTTGCCTTTTCAAGTCTGCCACATTGCTTGCACACATTTTCAAAAACCTGGTATACGATGATTATATGAGAGTACAACTATGTTTTGAAATGTGTTGGCTTTGTCTCAATGACATAAGGATACCTAAGTTACTTTTGAAAGAAAAATTAACTGTACATCTATAATTTCCTAAGCAAAGCTCATCTTTAGTAATTTTTTCTATTCCTGCAAATAATTGACATCGTTAACTGCAACATTTAGTTCATAAGTACCGTTAGTACGGAGCAAACTTGATTATTGTAGTATGATCTGGAATCCCAACCACAATAAATTTACTTCAGAGAGAAGTTTAAACCTCACTCGTTATATAAACATCAGATATGTTATTTCTGTGGGAAATGATCAGTAGGGGTGACCGGAGTTCTACTTCCTGCTATTCTGGATTTAGGTTGTTGCCATCTTGCTAGTAATGAGTATACGTAATGTGCCTCATCAATTGTAACGTATTTCTCTTTGGAATTGTCGCGAAAGAAGGACACCTGTTTCATCCTTTTTCTGCCTTTCAAGTAAATTGTAAATTATTTTGATCTGGTATATTCGTAGATTGAATTGAGCTGCTGATGGCGGATTTTTAAAGAGTAATAATCTGACGTTGCAAGGATGTATCAAAATTTTTTTATTGCGGGTGAGTGATACTGGGTAGTATCCATGCCGTTTAGAATATCCTTCTGAAGCATAGTTAGTTAAGGGGTCAGTTCGCATATCTAAGAGAACTATATAATCAAAGGTAGCTATAGGTGATAATAAACATCATTTACTTTTATGTTTTTGGTTTTTTAGAATTAAGTGTTTGTTCCTACATTCAAGCATACTTTATCTTGTTTGAGTTTAATTTTTTCAGGAGGATTTTTCATTTTTATTTATTTATTCATCGAAGAAAAATTTTTGATTGAATAACATGTTTGGCTTAGTATCCCTATCCATATCACATTATGTCACTTAACCCCGCATCCGGGGTTCAGAAAAGTATACTTGGGGTGACCTGAACATAGATTTAATGGTCCTATATGAGTTTGTACTCTTGAAGTTAAGCTATGTGGTACGTTCACTAGAATCTCTCCGAGTATTGAAAAAAAGTTAAAAATCAAAATTGATGCCAACTTCTTCCGGTTTCCCTTAATATGAAAGATTCAAGTCAACTGCTCATCTAATCACATTTGTGAATTTCATTGTACCTAGACTTTCGTCAAAGTCTAAACAAATATTTCACTTCTCTTTACCCATTTCCATTGCCCAATCATAACAATGTGTAAAAGTGTTGAAATCTTGAAATATGTCGATTTAGTTCATTCTAGTTTCGTAAACTTCAAAATCGCTTCATATGATCTCGTTTCCAATAAATGGTAATACCGCATTATCTTTGCATGAACTATTCCGAAGAATATTTGTGTGTAGAGAGACATACATCGGAGAAATATTGATTGTATAATTATGTTTATTATCAATTTTTTACACCTTGAAATATGATTGTTTCATACGCCAAACTTTTACTTTTTTTATCTTTTATTCTTAATTTATGAAAGTTGGCACAATTCAAATGAATGGGACCACATTTTTACTTCAAAGGATACTTCCCATTTATTTACATTGTCATAACTTTTTTAGTAAAAGTGAAAAATATATAAATAAATGATTTAGGTATATATTTATCTATTGGGGGTTTCATCAGATACCTCCTGAAAAACATTACTTACATTATTACTGAAACTAGTTTGGAGACAGAGAAGAAGAGGCTTCTTCGATATTTTCAATTCCACCTATTTTCTAGCTCATATGAATATTACTTTGTCTCTGTAGTTTAAACGTTTATCAAACACATTAATTCTCGTTTGGATCACTTCACATTTGCAATAAAGAGTAGAATTACATTGTATCAATTATTTGAATAATTCAACATCACACTCTGCCTGATCACGTCACCCAATGAATAGATAAAACCTCGAAGAAGCGACAAAAAAAGCAAATTGGACTTCATAATTGTAACGTTACAACACATCTCACTGATTTTCAAGAGGCAAGTTTTCCATTTGTGTATGAATATTCAACTAAATTACGCGTTCTTCACAACAATGTAATTTAAGTGTTTCCAGACATTCATGTTGGAATTGGTTCTTAGTCATCCAACGATTTACTCTGGTTATCCGATGGACGTAAAAAAGATGTGCGAGCAGGTGTATCTATTGTTCAGAATCGTTTTAGTGATAAACGACACGACATTGAATAAATACTCGTTCTAACATATCCGAAAGATTAAGAAATCATTTGTTTTAGGAAGCGACAAGTTTGAGAAGTTTTCTCAATCGGGGTAAAATACCTGAAACCATGTTATTCGACGTTTCAAATATTGTTTCCCAAATGCACGAGCTTATTGAATAGTAAATTGATTTACTTGGGGAAAAATTGATCACGCCTAGTAATAGCTTCCTTGTCTTGACGGTATTATTTCGTTCAAGGAACGAAATTTATCTAGAGTATTGTAGTTGAAACTCGTTTACACCCCTCAAAACCAAAACCTAGTGAATGAAAAAAAAATGGAGGCGTACGGAGAAATTCGAAAAGTTATAAATATTTTCCTTGGGTGGGCCGACTCATAATGTAGATATTTGGAAATTTTATTTAAGAAAATGTTGCAAATTATACTGCATTTTTCATAGGCATTTGAAGCAACAAAAATTTTAATAAAAATCATTGCAGGCGATTGTAGGAAAGTTTCAACGGGCAGAGTTATCTCTGACATGACAAACAGGCCTTTATGATGAGTTGGAAAAGTAATACTTTAAAAACCCATCCCTTGTTAAGGAAAGAAGAATAACATTTAGTTTATGACTATAACGGATTATGCGTACGAGGGCCAAAAAAATTATGAGTTCATGATCGAGGGCAACGGAACTGCAAATAAATTTGCCTCTCAATAAATTTAAAGAACATTTTTCTCTCTTTTTGTCATTATACAAGAGTTTTATAATGTTGTATGTTTATTGTTAAAGAATGAACTTTTTTTTAAAAATTCAGTGTTATTCAAAATATTTCAAATGTGTGGAAAAGTAACCACATTCTAAATTACAACGAAACATCTATATGTGACTGATGTTGATCACATATTCGAAATGAAATTGAAAATGAATGTAGTGAATTGAATAAAAAAACAACCCTCCATCAACTGGTCTATTATCTGAAATTAGAAGACCTTGTCAAACACGTGTGGCTTCTGAAAACATTAACTCTGCCAAATTTTCCCATTCTCGTTCCAATTCCCTATAATGCAAAAACCTTAATGATTATTCAAAAGAAACTGAATGAGAAGCTGACCGTGTAGTGTTTGGGTAAGAAGTTAAATTCATATGATTCTAACAGCAGACGTTATTCCGATTCAGAAATACGATGGGTGATGGGTTGTGGCATTTCTGTTAATATTTGCACAAGACCGGGCACCCAGCCAAACAACTGTTCACTGTTTAGAATAAACTTCCAAATAGAATATAAGGTCATCCGTAATAACTGCAGAGTATTTTTATCATACAAAAATTACTCAAGATTACCTTCGTTTATACGACTCTTCCACCTTCTATAATCTGCGCCACTCTACTCCACCAAATCTCCAGTATCTGAAATAGGAAACAAATTTAAAAAACATATAAATTATATAAGTTCATCATGAAATCCAGGAATGGGCTTTCCCTAGGAGAGATGTATCCAATACGTATAGAGCAGCGTTTCTCGAACTATACAATGTATATGTTACTTATTACTCACTCACAGAACAAGTATAATAGAAGATATTAAAAAAAATGTAACTAATGGAAGGTATGAAACTGTCTTTTTATTTTTCATCAATTGGTTGATATTAGGTTTGATAGAAGACTGTTGAAGTCTCTTATTAGGTTCGGTAACCAGTCTATTGAGGTATTTTGTTTCCGTGGTTGCATAGGTTGAGAATCCTGTTTCGCACAAATATGTTGTTGGGAACGGGAGAAAAATATTCAGTCATTTTGGCAAGCATTGGATATTCATCACGGATTTTGCACCAAAAATCTTTGAGAGGCGTCGTTTTAAACAGAGAGTTGAGTAAAAAAGGATTAGGAATCCATGAATTCCGTTTTATTTTTCTGTTCTTCGGGAAAGTATTTCTCAAAAGATGCGCGCATCGAAGTGAGATATTGAACCAATTCTTCAAATACCTCATCTTGAAGTATTTCTAAGTCTCACGTCACTCATGAGTGACGTGAGGCTTTCTATTTTTCTCTTATCAACGCAAATAATCCAAAAATCTAATTTTCTTTTTAAGGCACTCATTTTGTTACAGGCCAGGAACACTGTTGTCTGTTTACCTCGCAGTGATGAATTTAATCCATTCAGTTTTTTATCCATCATAAAAGACAGTCAAAACAACCAAGTTTTATAATGAAACGGCCTTTCAAATTAAAAGAAGTATCTGAAAGAAACATTTGTCACTCGGCTCTAAGTTCAAATAAATAGCCTTGTTTAAAGTTTTACCCCGAGACAGCCGTAGCACTTCTATAAAGCGCAGCAGTGTTTCATGTTTGCTGCGATAATCTTCAAACAATAATGAGAACAATCGGGATTTTGGATTCGACGGCATTTGCTTCAAGTGCTTGTCTTTGCAGGATACAATAGCTTGAACTACAATTAACTAGACGCTTCATTTTTTATTCGTGACACTACTTCTGCTGTTTTACCCGTCATCGTCCCATCTGTACAAATGTCAATGCAATCGTTCCAACTGAGATTATTTTATTCAAAAATTATATTCATTTTAATAAACATTTCTTCTCCGCTAGTGTCTTCTTCAAAAAAGTTTCATATGGATAGCTCACGATAACCAGCAAGATAGCCAGACCAGCGATATCAGTCGACTCATCCATTTGCAAGACGAATCGTATTTTTATAGACGTGTAACTAGTTCTTTTTTTTAACCCCTCTGTCATCAAACAGGAGTGCATTTTGCCACAGAAACTTCAATATAAATCGAGTTACTACGTTTGTTATTGATATTTTAGATTTAATCATGAATGTTAGAATTATGTTGTATATTTTTTCATTGAGTGTAGCTAAATGGATTGTTATATTGGTTGTAAATGAAACATTCGAGGAAAGCAAATTATTTAAGAAATCCGGCCTACTAATTCTTGTTAGACGTAGCTTGCAAGATCATGAATTCTTCGTGAAACAGTATCGTTTGATAGCGGCAAAGTAGAAAGATGCTTTGCAGATTTTTCATCGAGCATACATTTTGTTATTTCTAACACATATGGTTTTATTGAATTCTCAGCGATAGTTCACCTGCTTGTGCAATGCGATAGCTACCTAAATATGATTCCTCCGTGGCATTTTCATTGATAGTTTAGGTTGAATGCATCATAGTTTTTTTACTTTCCAATAACTGTTTTTTTACCAACGAAAAAGTATTTATTCTTGTCTTTAGACTCGGGGTGTACAGTTTCTAAAACGTCGGCGCAACTTAGCAAGTGTCATAGAACTATTAGGAAGCAGTTTACTATACAGCATGCGGAGAGGTGAAACGTTGGAATCAAAAAATCCGAAACTGATATATGATTCATCATACTTCCTTTTTTTGAAAGGAAACCGTGGAACCTGTGGCTGCATCATCGTCTGGATCGGTAATTGCTGTATACTCCGCACATACTGCTTTTGAACATTCAGCTTCGTTAGTGGATATTGTTGAAACACGTTTAACGCATTTAAGCCAACGTTCCATTCCCCTTTATTATTAATGTTACTTGTCAGGATGGTTAGGTCAAAATAATGCACGATAGTCACTGCGTAGAAGAGTTAGTCCAAAGAAGAAATGTACAAAATTGACAAAATTAGAATACAACAGTAGAACAATAAACACTTCGTTTTTAGCAGGTAGTTACTTATCGCTCCGAATGCTAATCGTCGACTGACTGAGTGACTATAGGTAAGTCTATAATCATCATAGTCAGTTTACTGACTATAGGTCAGTCTACTGACCAAAGTCAGTTTAATGACTATAGGTAAGTCTATACCAGCAAACAGGTATAGGTTAGTCTATAATTATACAACAAATAATCATATAATACAGAGTGTTCATTAAACATACAGCAAAAATTAAGGAACTATTCCTTGGACTATTCTAAGGATATTTTGTCCTTAGATGATTTTTGATAGGGCGCTTTGTTTCGAACATACGGGGCGAAAAAGACTTTCTATAATAACAATTTTGGTGATTTTAAAATTATTAACGTAGCCGAAATGAACATATAGAGTACTACACTGGACCTACCAAGTAATAAAAAATCTAACAACTCCGTTGGTATCTATCAACAACTCCAATGGAAGATGTGGAAGATTTGAGAAATCAGATAATTGCTGGGTGTAACGCAATCAGAAACGATCCTGGTGTTTTTGAAAGAGTTCGGGAGTCGATGAGGAAAAGATTAGATTCTTGCATCCGTGCGAGGAGTTAAAATCTAGTAGCCGAATCTCTGGAGCTGATGACCGGTCTGTGCGNAATATAATTGTTTTTTCAGCTATTTATTTTCATTTTTGTTCAGCAATTTTTTTAATTCTTCTTTTTTTATTAGTTTTTTTAGGGATTTAAAATCATTTTATATAATATTAGACAATGGAAGTCTGAACTAATGAAATTCATCATGAAACATTATCAATCACCTTCAAACAAACGGTAAAAAATCTGTGTTTCCGTTAACCAACTGAATTTCAAAAATTCGAGAGCAAGGAAAATTCATGGACAAAGCACTCAAAAAATAAGCAAACTGCAGACATGTGTTTCTAGCTCATTGGCTGTCAAAAATCTTATATCAGAACGATATAAGAGTCTGTACAGAATACAGACCCTCAAAAGAAATCAATAGCCCAGAACCACGCAGTAGGAAATTAATCACCAGAAGAGTAACCAAGAAATGGTTAGAGCAGAATCTGTAAACAATGTATTTGCTAACGTCCTGAACTTCACTGATCGTTTATCGGAGATAAATCAGATTAGGGAATACTTCAACTTGTATAGGAATCAAATAGTGAAGAAATCAATAGAACAGTAAAATTCAGATATTATAAGGTGAAGATGGAACTCTCAGACAAGGAATGGCAAAAGTAGGAAGGAAAGAGATATAGAATTCAGTTAGGTGATGTATACAATATGGAAGAGGGTAACACTCATACATTACTGTGATTGTTAGAATTTTGATCACTGTTGTACGACTTGCAGTCACAAGATGGGGAAGCACACTACAACATGAAAACGTTTCCTTCTGAAATGAAACAAAACAGAAACGAAGGACGGTAACTATTGGACACTGAAATAAATAGAGACCAATATTAATTAGACTCCTGAAACCAATCTACAACAAGCAATTTTCCCACTGTTCTCCTTCATATTCTGAAGATGCACCCTTGGTTGGAGAAACGGGGATAGAGAAGAGTTTTGGAGTTCTGATGTTTGAAAACAGTGCTTGTTTTGGATTTATTTTACGCCAGAGGTTTCGGTTCTACCGTTAACCCTATGAACCAATATGGGCTCGAAACAGGACGCCTATAACTGACATCACACGAAAACAATGGACCTTGAAAAAATAGGAAATTTATAAAATACATTTTCAATGGAAGGAGATTTTGTTGCAGAGAATTTACAAATAAAAATAATTTTCAATTCTTATATATTAACTACATTTGTTACGACACTTGCAATAATTGAGAAGATGAGAAGGAACAGTAGCCTTATCAACAATTACATTTTTCCAGCGATAAGTGAAGAAAGCTCATCAGATTCTTCGTTGACTGTACTTATATCAAGTCCGCAGAGTAAAGCAAAGCAATTTGTTCCATTTAACCTGATGACACAGTTCTTTGGTTCTTCAACAAACAAGTGAGTGTAAGCGTTTTTGTGCGATATGCACTGCGGCAGCAAAACGAACCTCAAAGGAATGCATCTACTTTGTCATAACTTCAAGAGTACTATAATTATGTTTCAATAAGAAACAATAGATTATTTTCGATTTTTTTTTATGATTCGATAGCATTCATTGTGAATTTTTTTATTTGTATCATCTTTCGATTTTCAACTGTCCTAAGCCTGGGACTAGCTAAAAGACAAAGAAGCAAAAACTGTATAAGAAAAAAGTGAAATTGTTATCAATATATTTTTGATTATCAATAAAAGAGTGGAAAAGCCTACCGAATTCGAAAATACTGAATGGAGAGGTTTATGTCATAGTCTAGGTTGAACATTTGCTGGGCTGTTCAACAACATGTTATACGAAACATATAGCTAGGCATTTGTTTGAAAGTAGTTGACAATGTTTCATGATGAATTTTACTAGTTCGAACTTCCATTGTCTAAAATGATATAATAAGAATATACTGGTCTCAGAAACTAACACATGGGATGCAGTAGCGAGGGCAAATATCACCGTTAATGAATTTCATCTTTGCTACTAGTAAATGTATCTAAAACTTTTTTTATGACATTCATAACGCATAATATGAACAATGATGTTAGTTATCTGATAAAAATCAATAATAAAAGCATTGAACAAGTGAATTCTATCAAATTTCTTGGAATTATAAGGTGACATGGGAGGAA